ACGCTACCGCGAGCGCTCCAACGGTATACGTGCGCTCTAATTGGTCCGGAGTTTTTTGTTAATATCTCTTCAACGAAGCCTCGGACAACATTTTCGCTAAGGAAAGAATTGTTTCAAATCACCTCCCGAACCACCTCTTTCAATGTGTTACAACGTTTTTGGGACACCCTGTATACATAGAGTGAAGGTGATTTAAAACAACTTTTTCCTTAACGAAAATCTTGTCCGAAGCTTCGGTCAGGAGATATTAAGAGAAAACGTCCACCAATCAGAGCGCGAGTATACCGTGGGAGCGCTCTGATTGGTCGCGGTTTTCTGTTAATATCTCCATAACGAAGCCTCGGACAAGATTTTCGCTAAGGAAAAAGTTGTTTCAAATCACCTCCTGAACCACCCCTTTCAAGGTGTTACAACGTTTTTGGGACACCCTGTATATAGAGAGTGAAGGTGATTTGAAACAACTTTTTCCTTAGCGAAAATCTTGTCCGAAGCTTCGTTCAGGAGATATTAACGAAAAACACTGACCAATCAGAGCGCGAGTATGCCGATGGAGCGTCAGCAGTGGGCGTGGCTACGCGCTAGGCGGCCGCGCTCATACGCTACCGCGAGCGGTCCAACGGTATACGTGCGCTCTAATTGGTCAGTGTTTTCCGTTAATATCTCCTCAACGAAGCCTCGGACAACATTTTCGCTAAGGAAAAAGTTGTTTCAAATCACCTCCCGAACCACCTCTTTCAATGTGTTACAACGTTTTTGGGACACCCTGTATACACGGTGATGCGCTATGAACTACATAATTACGAGGGAATCGTGTGAGTTTCTTCGATAGAGGCATGATCGACGAGAATTCACTTCGCTATCTGAATTAACAGACCGGAAGAAAAACCGCGAGTTCTGTTCCGCTGAAACGGAAACGTCTCGATTCTGCCTCGTTAATTAGAGTAAATGTTTTTTTTTTTTATTCGCGTAATTGATGAAAAGATTTCTTAAAAATGCCAGAAAATGTATGTCCAGTCCGCGTAAGAACGATTCCGTAACGCGCAAGAGTTCGATTTTCATAATGGAATTCCTTCTGAATTTTAAATGGCGCGTGTGACGGTTTTCCGTCAGGAAGGTTAGGACAGACTCGGTCGAGATAAAGAATCGCACAATTTTCGAACATTTCTGCGCTGACGTTTCGCTCGAGAATGTAACGCAGAAAACGTCGTACATAACGAAAGATGAGAAATTCGATTTTCAACAAATTCATCGTGTCCGAATGTTGAAACCAATCATTTTTCGAGACTCATAAAGGAATAATAATTGTTCCGAATGTCGAGGAAGGCGTGAAAAGAAAACGTGGACAGCGTTGGTTCGTGGCAGTTTTCAATCGATAAGATCAAATGGGGCAATTGGAAATAATTCGACATGACTGAAAGGTGCAAAGACCCGACACGCCATACTCCGCGATGAGGGTGGACTTTTAAATTGGAACAGATACAGGTCACAGCTCCTACGCATATACCTATAAACCTTGATGCAACCATGCGACAATGAAATCGATAATCGCGAGGAACTCGTGTGGTTTCCTACTATTCAAGTACACCGAGAAACATGCTCGACTTTTGGGCTATCGACGATATAAAAAAAAAGTGATCGCACGAAAAAATACTTTAAACAAAAGTTGTGCATTTCAATGAGATATGAATTTCCTGTCAGCTACATTTTGTCAAGAAACGAATATTTTCAGAGATATTTTTGTACAACGTTTACACTTTTCAATATTGAATTTTTTTCTCATAAAGTATATTAGTTATGAATAATTTGTAAATATAAAAAAAACTTTATCTCGTCATTCTCTATAAGAAGATATTTTTTTTGAAATTTATTCGACGAATTTAACAATTTCGGTCTACTTGCGCGGGGCGCTAAAACTACTATCGCGGCTCTGTCAGCGAATAGATCCGTTACAATGTCCAGCAAAAATCATCCTACAGTTAAAGGAATAAAATAGAAATTGTACAAAAAGTCAATAACGGGTTCAAGTACTACCGATTTGTCAAAGGGCCTACGATACTCTTAAGACGGCCCTGGCCGCACCCTACCAATCATTTCACTCTTTCCTACGTTCAATTCGGGGGCCGCGCGATACTATTATAAATATGTGTGCAATGTAAAGGTCAAATGAATAAATATGGTCGTTCAAAATTCTTCAAAATTCTCGCATCATTCATAACCGACGATAATGGAAGGAACAACACGATAGCGTCTACTCGACCAGTTTCCAAGTTGACGATCAAGAATTCGCTGAAAAAGTTGTTTTTCTCGTCATTCGGGCCATTGCTGTTACTGATGTGTATCGATAACGACCATGACCATAGTAACGGATAAGAGACATTAAGAAATGTTAAGTATGGTGTACCGAACGATTGCGATTCAAATATTTCGTTCGTTAATTACAAATAAAATTTTCGAGCCCGTTACAATTTCGAAATTCAATTTCGTTCGGGACCACGACAAAGTGTAACACGGCCCTGGTGCCACGAGACGATCAACTATGTCATGATTAAAATTCAACATTTTTAATTTCGCTCGATTCCAATTTCCATATTTCATTCATTCGTTAAATCAATTTTTAAATGATATTAGCTTATAGGGTATAATGATATGAAACTTTTTTATATTTACTATTTCTTCGTAGGACGTTTGGTTTCAAAAATAAAAATTGAAAATTTAAAAGTTCGTTGGAAAAATCGTATTTCAGGAAAAACATCCTCGAGGTTTTCAATTTTTATCTCTGAAACTATACGTCGCACGAATAAACTGTAAATGGAAAAAAGTTTCGTTTCGTCATCTTCTATAAGGTGGTATTTTTTTCAAATTCATCAAAGTTGCTATTGTCGACTAAACGACGCATACATTTTCGCCATTGTCAATGTGATCGAATTCAGAGGAAAAAAGATCTTCTACGTTTCGAATTTTTATTTCGAAAACTAAACGTCGCACGCATAAACTGTAAATGGAAAAAAGTTTCGTTTTGTCATCTTCTATAAGGTGGTATTTTTTTCAAATTCATCAAAGTTGCTATTGTCGACTAAACGATGCATTCATTTTCGCCATTGCCAATGTGATCGAATTCAGAGGAAAAAAGATCTTCTACGTTTCGAATTTTTATTTCGAAAACTAAACGTCGCACGAATAAACTGTAAATGGAAAAAAGTTTCGTTTCGTCATCTTCTATAAGGTGGTATTTTTTTCAAATTCATCAAAGTTGCTATTGCCGACTAAACGACGCATTCATTTTCGCCATTGCCAATGTGATCGAATTCAGAGAAAAAAAGATCTTCTACGTTTCGAATTTTTATTTCGAAAACTAAACGTCGCACGCATAAACTGTAAATGGAAAAAAGTTTCGTTTCGTCATCTTCTATAAGGTGGTATTTTTTTCAAATTCATCAAAGTTGCTATTGTCGACTAAACGACGCATACATTTTCGCCATTGCCAATGTGATCGAATTCAGAGAAAAAAAGATCTTCTAACTTTTGAATTTTTATCTCTGAAACTAAACGTCGTATGAACAAACTGTAAATATAAAAAAGTTTCGTCTTCTCTTCCCCTATAAGGTGGTATTTTTTTTTTTAAATTCACACCGTCTACTCCTCTCAGAATTTCCAGCAAAAATCATCCCGCAATCAAAGGATTAAATAAAAAAGATATAGAATTTCTAAATTCAATTATGTTCGGGGCCCTGAGAAACTACATCGCGCCCCTGGCTACATAGGGTGTC